GTTTTGTCCTGGTGCACACCGAAGACAGTGGGGTGAGTTTGCGCAAAACTATGGGATCGATCGGAGTTAGACATAACCATTGCTTAACGCCAGCTCAGTGGTCCAGATGTTAAGCGTTCGCGGGCCAGACCGAAGGTCCTGGCGGGAGTCGTGGATGCACGCTGATGATAAATTCCATACCAAGACAAAATGGCCATCCAGTAGTGCTTCCAGCTCTCTAATGGTAGTCTAAGATTGATCGATTCATGATTTCAAACTAATCATGATCATCAATATTGTTGTTATTGTCATTATTTCTACTATTCTTATTATTTATTCGTTTGAAATCATGAATCGATCAGTGTTAGACTACCATTAGAAACCTGTGATCACTGGACGACCGTTTCGTCCTGTTATGGCAGTGCGCATCCATGACTCCTGCACCTCGTAGGGTTTGAACCCAGGACCTTCGGTCTTGCGCGCGAACGCTTAACCTCTGAACCCCTGAGCCTGGTATCTAACAGTGTTCATGTCTAAATTCGATCAATCCACGGTCTTGCGCAACCTCATACATTGTCTTCGGTAGTTACTGTCTACACCCGAACAGGTCGGAGAAGATTCCTCACGGAGCTAGTCGTTATTATTCTGTGTTTTTATTGTTTTTGTTGCATGCATAAATATTTCAAAAGCGATCAGTATGTTCTGTACAACACTTAGAATATTGATGTATATTTGTATTTCAAAGATTGTGACATAGGATCCTATTTCTCTTCCTTGGTATGCATGGCATGGAAACCAATAATAATAATAATAATATGTGACTTATCGACCTTTTTTCATTTGTCTTTCTGCTTAAAAGAAAACATTTATTATTACTATGTTTCCAACTTTAGCCAAGATTATCCTCAATGTGTTATTTCCAATACACTTGACTACTTCCTTGTTCGTTTGATGAATGACTGTAGTGTTGCATATTGAAACGTAGTTTTCACTAAAGATTTTATTTTAAAAGTTGTTACTCGGGATGTCAAAAGGTGGTTGTATCGACTTCGTGATTTCCGAAGAAGAACAGCTTTCACGTTGAGGTATCATTAACTCTTCAACTCCCAAGAAAGAGTTTAAATGGTTTAAATGATTTTTTGTGTATTTAACATTTTTACTAGCAAGGTTTTCTTTGTGGGATTACGTTGTTAATTTCATGCTCCATTCTTCTCCATCCGAGCTTGGGATGATCACTAACCTTAGAAGGGCTCCAAGTAGATTTATACATTTTGAACACTAAAATCATTTTGAACAACCCTAGCTTTGCTTTTTGTTCATACAATTGCTTACATGTTATACAAAGTAAATAAATGGGTCCAGACTGTATCATTATGAATGCATCTAGTTGAGAGAGAACATTTGGAAATTTCGGTTTAATGTTACAGTTTTATCAGGGATCGGGATTGATTAAGTCACCACAAGACAGACTATCAACAAAACTTTACTATCCCATATTCTCTGGACTTCAATTTTGTGTCAGTTTGCACATGCCAACAAGGCCTTCTTACTCTCTGATGGATTCCAACCCGTATCACCAAACATGAAGGTTTGAAACTTTTATCTCACCTCAGTTGCAACACCTCAAACTATGAGGCTAGATGACATGGGTTTACATCATAAGGGAATTATCATCTCCCTCAAGTTTGTAAGTAAGTCTTGACGACAAGTTCTAACTAAGTCAAAGGTTTCTTGCTGACCACTTGCAAACACCTAACATCAGAAATATGAGTTTCTAATAGCAATACTTTTCTCACGTTGAACCATAATACGTCATGGCGGAACGGTACTTCTAAAGTACCAGTGAGTAGGACTTCAAGGGTTTCTATGCTGAGAGACGTTGGATAACATCTCAAGCCACTGATCTGAGTAACCTCCAGGACCATAGCTAGAGGGCTCTGGTAGGTGACCGTCGGATGTTACCCTTACACAACTTTCACATCTCTGCGCCGTAGCATAGACTGACGCCTTCGTCCCAGTGCCAAAACTTTTATGCCTGATGAGGAATCCCTATGCTTGACTGTATAAGACGCCTTTTGAAAGGAATAACCAACTGTCTTTACCCTTAGCTGTACCAGGACTTTCATAGGTTAGTCGTGATATGACAATATATACAAGGTTATTAACATGTTACGAGCATAATTCACATCTATTGTGTTTTAATTTGAGTGTATGCTTTTACCACAAATCCACCCTCACCCCATTTAATGCTTAAGTCAGTAAACTCTTACATCTATTAGTGTCTACAGTACTCGTCGTTAGACTAGTTAATTAACATCCAATAAAATCCATATTTTCAATTCCAATCAACTCATTCATGACTTTTATTCAACAATAATGACTAGTTTTTTTTCTGTCCTACTCCAATTCTCCTTCTCATATCAAGTCACCAAGCGAAAACATGTTTCATCTTTTTAACGTAAATGTACTCTGTGTGTGTGTTGTTGGTTCTTTCTACCTCTGCTACTACTATTACTATTATTATTATTATTGTTGTAGTAGTAGTAGTAGTAGTAGTTATTGTACTATACTTCTTCGAATGACTCATCATTTCCACAAGTCCATTGATAATTCTGTACTTGATGATCTCTAATAGTTTCTCTCTTCATCTCTTCTCAACCTCTCTATCCTATTTACACCTTGCATTGGTTCTCTTCTCTCACTTACCCAAATTTGATAATAATCATGTTTGATAAAAGATTGTCAATTTGGAGTGTCATATACTTATACATATATATAGACTACATGAATAATAGCAGTAGTAGTAGCCGTTAGTTCGTTGTCCATTACTCTTCATATCTGTCTGTCTATATGCCTCTCTGTCTGTGCAAGTGTGTCTGTCTGTATGTTACATATTTTAGTCGTGAAACATTCATCGCTCTCTCTCTCTCGCTCTAATCATGTAAAAACACGTGAAGGCTCAAATTTGTTGCGATTCCATAAAAATTACTTGTTCATATATATATATTTTTTCTGTTTCTGTTGCATACTTCCTATTTTATTTTATTTCGTGAAAAAATGTTACATTAAATTCCTGGTCTATACAAAAGCAAAGAAAAACATGTCTCAACTTGTTATAAAACAAACGCTCAGTGATATATATATACATATACATATGTATATTTATCTTAATTGTTGTATAAAAATATGTATTTGTATGTATACAGATATAGATAGATAGAGCAATTGATTTTTGTTTTGGTTAGATAAAAAAATAAACAAACAGATTCACCATTCCATGCATTTTTATCCATTTTTTTTTGTTATATACGAATTAAAATGCTTATTGTTTAATTTGATTTACTCACAGACTAATCATAATCATAAAATATTATCATAACCACTTTTTTTTCATGAGATATACACAGTTTATTCTAATAGAAATCGATCATTAGTATTAGGTGATATTATTTTCGAAGCACAATAAATGAACTTTGAAAGTGTGTCTATCTTTCTTGTCTTCTCATGCCTGCACACACGCAAGCACACACAAGCACACATACATACCAACATACATGATGTTGATGGTGATATTTTTGTTTAATGATTGCCTTGTGTATATGTTACATGTTTTTTGCGTGATAGTATTATGGAGATTATTGTTGTTACACATTGAAATCATGAATCAGTCATTGTTAGACCGACTACCCTTCGAAACCAGGAAACACTGGACGACTATTTCGTCTCTGCATAGGACTCATCGGTAGTGCGCGAAATTCTTAGATTGATCCGAGTTAGACATTGATGCCGGCCCAGCGGTCAAGACCGAAGGTCCTAGGTTCGAATCCTGCGAGTAGCACGAGTCGTGGGTGCGCACTGCCACTGATGAGTCCCATACCAGGGAGAAACAGCCGTCTTTCAGCGAACCTGTTGACCGCTCCACTTATCTCGGGAGTCTCATCAGTGCTACTGGCCTGGTGACTGATGAAATGTCAGCACGGATACAGAAGGCTCGATTGGCTTTTGCCAACCTGCGTCACCTATGGCGTAGGCGAGATATGCGTTTGCTAACCAAAGGACGACTGTTCAGCTCAGCAGTTCGCTCCGTTTTACTTTATGGCTATGAAACATGGCCAGTGAGAGTAGAAGATATTCGTAGGTTACTGGTTTTCCATCATCGATATCTTAGAAGCATTGCTCGTATATCCTGTCGTTAGGAAGCCAGTACTAGGTAAGGATGGCAGATCAATAGACGAAGTATTGAAACTTCATCAGTTGAGGTGGTTGGGACATGTATTGCGAATACCTGACTACCGACTGCCTCGACGAGCTATGTTTTGTGGTGTAGGAGTAGGTTGAAAGAAAGCTAGGGGTGGCCAGACCAAAACATGGCAGACATCCATGAAGTCACTGACAAGTGGACTGAGTCATGTTTGTAGATGTAGGCTACTCGGTTGGGGTCTGCGAGGCGAAAATCACCAATGGCTAGAGACCTTGAACGACATGGCTCAGAATCGTTTGCAACGGCGCAGGTGCATTTGCGCTTTATGTCCTCTCAAATCCTAATCTTCTGGATTCGTCAACACCTCTACCTTTGTCTTTCTAAATTTATCTCACTGAATTATACTTCTTAAATAATATCTTCGCTCCCTAATCTCTCCGATTACTTCTAATACTTTCACTACCTCTACTACTATGGGATTTGGATTGACAGTTGCGTCTCTATGCTAATGTGGTATGGCAACCTGAACTGATGTACTTACGTACAAAGTTCTACTTTGCATCTGACTGACTTTCAGTGCTTCCAGGTTTCTTCTAATGGTAGTGGTTTGACAATGATTGGTTGATGATTTCAAAAAGTTACTCAACAATCTCTGAAAAAAAATTTGCTTATTCATTATCTCTCTATCTACTAGTTATCGCTTTCAATTTTTCGTTTCATAATTTTAATAATCGATAAGTGATGATGTCTCATATATAGAAAAGTAATTTTTTATCGATATATTTTTTGCACTATAATTTCTGAACATTTATCGCGTACAATGGGAAATATCAAGGTAAGAATAGTACTGAGTTTTATAAACCGAAGCGATGGTTCTAACTAGACATGTTGTGAAGATGTTGATGAGTATATATATGGAATTAATGTTATCTTACCTTTATGTACTGTGACATATTCTATTTATCAATAATAATAATTATCAGTCAGTCACTGACAACATAGAACTTCGTACGTTCGTAAAACACTCCATGACAGCACAGCCATCGGTTACTATTGTCTTGCGGACCTCGACCAGGTAGTCTCCACCTATTGACATGATTCAATTCACTGGTCAGTGACTTCGTGGATTGTAAATTTGAATAATACCCAGACCACGATCATGAAGTCACTGAATCTGTTAATGAAGTGTATCTATTTTGAGTTATTAGATCTTAAACTCTGCCCTGATAGTTAAAAGGTCTTCATTCAGATGAATTTTGGCGTCTCATGATGAAAGTTCGAATTCCTTCGAAAGTCACTAGGCCGATGCCCTTTCTAACAACCAGAACAACCATTCTTTTATAGGGTACATGAAATGTGTCGTACATTGTGGCGGACCAAAAGACTGTAAGGAAGTAACTAAGTGATTATTGAACGCTTACAAACAACCCCAAAATGCCACAGTCAATAATAATTAACATGACTTGTTAATCATTTGTTGTTATGATAAATTACATGTATTATTATTTTATTGCGTTTTTCTCATTCTCTCCGTGTTTGCGTGCAAACTTTCTTTTCCACACAGGTTGTTGCATCCCTTCGACATTTAACACGTTTCACTATTCTCTCTTATATTCGACGTGATCATATTGATCAATTGCCATTACCGAAAATTACAATTAATTATTTACTGGAAAAACAATGTTACATTGAATCATTAGAAGATTTTGAAGAAGCAGTTCGTGAACGACCACCATTGGAATTTCGTTCACGTTCAGCAGCTATGCTTGATTTGAATGCAAATTTAACTTTACAAGATTCCAATAATAATAATACTAATGATAATCTCTCTTGTCATAATAGTAGCAATAACCATAGCAGTTCAACCAGTGAAAGAAGCTGTGATAGTCTGGCTACCGTTAGACACATCAATAATTAATTCATCATGTCGGTTTTTGTTCCATGTATTCTTATTCTTTCTTATTCTTCTTCTTATTATTATTACGTCATACAATTTTTATCACAGTGATTACACAACAAAAGAGACAAATATTGTTATGGCCTAAATGCTGTTACCCTCTCCCCCCACCATCCGCCAACATTAATAGGTAAATTTACTAATCATAAAAACATCTTTTTTATTGTTGTTGTTGTAACGGTGATCTAAATCAGATGAACCATCGAACTAGTTCATTTTGTTCTATTTGTCTGTTTGTCTGTATCTCTCCCTCTCTCTCTCTCTCTCACACACACTACTCTTACGTCAACCAGTCTTGTTTCTATATATATATATATATATATATATATATATATATATATATATATATATATATATATATAATGCATTTTACCTTCAACTACACTCATTGTCAAAATGACGTCATAACATGAGCAACACTCACTACTGTCACTAATATTCTTATATATATATATATAATACATATATTTTTTCTTCTAAATAGTTTATTTTCTATTTTTAAAAAAATTTCAAAGACTTATTACATTTCCATGATTGTGTCTAATTATCAGTCTGTCTTTGCTTCTCCTAGTTTATGACAAGTGTGTTCGTCTATGTAATTACGTTTGTGTGTGTGTGTGTGTGCGCGCTTGTCGTTGTGTTCCTGTTGTCTTTTCTTTCCTTTTCTTTTCTCTAGTTTTTTTCTCCTTTATGGAACAAGAAGAATATTGTTGTTATCAATTTTTGTATTTTACATATATATATATATATATATATATATATATATATATATATATATATATAACCTTTTTGTTTCATCCTAACCTCTCCTACTCTTTCATTGGTCTCTTACTCTCTCTCTCTCTCTGGCTGATGTCTCTTTCGTCAAGCCAATTATGTATGTATATTTAGGCGCTCAAAATAATTATTCCTTCTTTATTTTTGGTTTTACATAAAGTACACTAGTTGTATTGACTCACTGTAACTTTATGACATTCATATATATATATATATATATATATATATATATATATATACAAATGTAATTTTATACTACCCATCTTATGCATATATTTATTTGTTTAAATAAAAGAGCCCCGTCCCTCCCTCAGCTCCTCCTTCACCCTCTCTACTACTACTACTACTACTAATAACAAGTGTACTAATAATGATTCTGTTCATTTTGACAATTGCTACTGCCCATTGCTGTCCACTGCTCTGTGTTATGCTAACTAATATCTTGTAATTTATTTGTGTTTTCTTTTTTTTTCTACACTAAAGCGCCATGTTTTTATTTAATAATACCTAAATAACTGAATTTTTATTGATTCATTGAATGTGGTGTTTGTACAACATGAACAGTGATGTGTGTGCACATCATCATTACCGATTCCGTTTTTGCTGGCTATTTTTTTTAAAAAATAAAAATTTCTCTACATCCTTTTTATTTTATTAAAATTGTGTTTAATTCCTTTTTTTTGTGTTTTGTTTGTGTTCAACTCTTCGAAATGCATCAGTTCTCTTGTTCTTTTTAACATTCATTATTGTGCAAACTACTACAAATACTACTAATAATACTACTTATTTCTTGAAATCTTGAAAATTGCAATTTTGGATAAAAAAAATAGAGAATAATAATGTCTTATGATTACTGTTTATGATTATGATTTCCAATCATTGATATACATATATATTTATTTATTGATATAATTTTTACATAAACTTTAAATGATCAACGGTACATTTGATCTGTTTTTCTTTGGCTTTTAACTACTTTTTTACTGCTGCTACTACTACTTTACTTCGAATAATGATTTGTTGATATTGATTATTCCTAAATCGCTCACCTACATTAAACAATCAGTCGGTCAGTCAATCATTCAATCATAAATTGACAAAAAGCACTTCAACACTTGTGTATACACCATTTCCTTTGTACATAACAAAACAAAAAATAAAAGACAATGTCGCCTTCACTCCCAAATCCGAAACTCTCTTCAGTCGAAGAGGCACACTACTATGAATCACCTCGTTCTAGCCTCCTTTCGTTCTTTTATATGGTTGGGGACGAGGGTTTATTCTAATCCTTATCGATCTTGTTTTTTTTGGCTTCTGTTTTTCTCTCTCTGTTCTTCTTTTGGAAACGAAATAAAAACATAACAATAATTCTATTTTTTATTCTGTATTTTTTTCTCCCTAATATTTATTTGTTGTACATTGATATTATTAATCTCAATATATCGGTATATATATATATATATATATATATATACCGATATATATGTGTATGAGCTTTTTTGATACGTTTCTTGTATGCGTACATATAGGTGTACGTATTTTCTTTTCTTTTTTTGTATAGATTAAAACGTAGAATAATTAATTATATATATATATATATATATATATATATATATATATATATATTTATTAGAATGTAAATTAATTCAAAAAGATGACGAATTCATAAATAAATATTGTTATTGAATGATGACAAGGAGTTTGATTTTTTTTTTGTTTATCTGTTGAATGAATAAAGTTCATAGTTAAAACTACCTAATTAGAGTCCGTTCTATCATTGCAAACCTCTTCTAGGGCCCCCAAATGTAATGGCACAACCGAGAACGAGGAGAATCCGCTCTCCTTCCCCTCCGCTCATGTGGCTACGCATGTATAACCACCGATAGGGTGTGTATTTTATGAAACTGAAAGGACTGAAAATGAATGCCATAGTTGGAATAGAGTTGGTGTGCGTACGGAGGATCCATAATGGTGGAGTTGGAAAACCCTCATTTTAAATCAGTGGTGTACATGGGCTCCAGGATACTGAAACAAACAAATGGTTTATGAACTTCATATTGGCTACCACAGAATGGCACCTTCTATGGTTGTCTTGTAGATAAGACTTTTGGATCAAATAGTCCTCTAAGAAAACCAACTACTTCGGTGTCGGTACCCAGACAGTATATATATCTGTATTACAACCATTGGTTGATGACTGGATGAAGTGATTCAGAACTAATCATATTCATCCTTTATGTTCTTCGACATTTTGCTCTTCATGATTCCATCATATAGTTTTCTCCTACCAAGTTCTCAGAATGCTAGCTATCCTGAGGCAAACTTCGGAGGGAACCAGCTACTAGATGGTTCGATTGATCTATCGCCCCTATACTCATGTTATACGATTGGTTTGTTCGTCAGAATCGCTACAGTCCTTCACCACAGTTTCCTCTGGCTTAAAACTTCTCAAGCATAGTTAACCATTTTTCAATAAAGAGTGAAGTGTGTTTATCACTTCACTTATCTTGGCAGTTTCATCAATGCTGATGCCAGACGAAATCTCAGCACAGATACAGGAGGCTCGATTGGCTTTTGAAAACTTGCATCACTTATAGCATAAGTAATGTTTACTAACGAGTCCACCGCACAGCAGTTTTCTCCGTTCTACTATGTGGGTGTGAAACATGGCCAGTAAGAGTAGAGGATATTCGTAAGCTATTAGTGTTCGATCACAAGTGTCTTCGAAGCACTACTCGCATATCCTGGGACCACCGAGTGACCAATGCTGGTGTTAGGAAAAGGGTACTAGGTATGAATGGCAGACCAATAGATGAAGTAGTGAAACTTCATCAATTGATGTGGTTGGAGCATGTGATACGAATGCCAAATCCCCTACTGCCTCGGCGAGCTATAATGCCTGGTGTAGAGATAAGCTGGAAGAAAATTTAGGGGCAGCCACATCAAAACATGGCTCAAATCGATGAGGTCACTGACAAGTGGACTGAGCCATGTTAGTAGATATAGACCAACAAGTTGGGGTACTCGAGACGATTGTTACCGACGGTTAATGACTTTGAATGAATCGTTTGCTGTGACGCAGGTGTATACATTCTTCGTGTTCTCCCGAATTCTAATCTGAATTCCTCATGACCTTCATCTTCCTCTTTACAATTTTATTTCACTGAATTATACTCCTTGAATAACATCTGATCTTGCTGTGCAATTTGGTTTTTTTCTAAATCACTCCTTTAAATTGAGTGATCATTGCGTAGAAACCAATTGCATATTTGTCTGATTCTTAGGACTCATTTGTCAAGACCTGAAGATTTTTGGTTTGATCCCTGAATAGATTTTGATTTCATATACGTACTATGAAGAAGCAGTTGCACAGTCCTAACTAACAGATAAGTGCTTAGTGAAAACGCAGATTGTTTACGAAATACGTACACATGGTCTGCGATTATCTATTTGCATGTTCAACAATCCAAGCCGATTATTGACTGTCTTCTTTCACTCATCGTCTGATTTACCGATACTCTAGTCACTCTGTGCACTTCAATTTCCTGATGGCGACTTCTCAGCGACGCTTCGCTACATACTCCTGAAAATCTATATTGCGAGTAGCATCCACCACACTATTATTGGCTTCAATTCGTGACAAAATTCACCTTAAAATCAAACTGGTCGCTATGAAATTTTCCAACCAAAAGATAACCGAGTTCATTTTTATCGCATATACACTGTCAAATAACTACTGAACTGAAAATCAATTATGAATGTATACTTATTATAGAGTTATCGAGCTTGTTGTTTTTTATTGAATTCATGAATCGACGATTGTTTGACTACCATTAGAAACATGGCAGCACTGGACGGCCGTTTCGTCTTAGCATGGGAATCATCAGCAGGACGTATCCACGACTCTACAGGCTGGAATCGAACCCAGGACCTTCTATCTAACGCGGGAACGCTCAAACTCTGGATCACTGAACTGGCATCAAAAGGTGTTGATGTGTTAATTTAATGAATCCAAAGTATTGCGCAAACTCACCTATTATCTTCAGCAAGTAAAAAACTGCACACACGCGAACAGTGTTAAACTTTACTGGTCACAGCTTCTCACTGCAACTCCAAGAATTTACTCACAAAGTTAATGCTCACTAGTGAGTACATTTTATTTAATTGTATTGTTATGCTCTTCAGTTGATATGCTTGAACTATTACGAGTTCACCCTAGTCGGTAAACCAGAACGAAGACAAATGGTCCAGTGACACGATAGGCTACTCTAATCCGAGCGTCTCAAGGCCCCACTAAGTCGAGGAAGATGTCTTGATAAAAGTATAGTCTACAAGCACCCAGAAAATATGAGGTTGACAAGCACACAAATCGAATTTATTTATACATGATAGAAACGTCCTTGGGAGAGACAAAAAAATAGCGTACTAAATATAACATATCAACCAACGACAGTCAAGCGTTTTCCTAGTGGGAAATGTAATCTCAAGGTCAACTGATCAGCCAATATGCGAAAGCATAAAATCCAAAATAAGGACCTTT